CGGGAAAGCAACTTTTGCTTAGAAATTCGCCACGATTATACCATTCAACTCGAAATTCACCAAGGATTCCATTTCTAGCGTTAATTTAGTGAGATCGGTCCTCTAATTGGTCAGATCGAGCCTGTCAGCCGCTGCACCTCCTCCGCGCACGATTGCTTCTCAAATCTTTGGTAAAGTCGCAAATTTATGGAAGGAAAATGCTCTACAGGTGATTAGGAGTCGATTGGCACCCTTCCCGTGGCCTGAGGTCGACTGAACGGCCAGATTTCGCCTGAAAATAAAAAGAGCAGGGTGCGATTTTGCAGAAGCTGGTCCGATCGCGCCGTTGGAGCTCCGTTCGCGTGAAAGGAGGCTGGAAACGTAGTCAGCGGCACACGATGCGTCGTCCGCCACCTCGTGCTCGTCTTGCGGTGGCCGGAAACGGAGATCGGAGGAGAGGCAGAGAGGGTCGCGCGGAGAAGAAGAAGAAGAAGAGAGGAAAAGAAAAAGAAAGAAAAAGATGGTTCCAGAGAAGTCTGGGCCATTCCGGTTCGATTCGAATCAGTTTGGTCCAAATCAATAATTTGGCCCGATTTTGCTTGATTTACGTGATTTTTACCTAGTTTACAGATCCGGTTTGGTTTATTTTTATTATTTTATTTAGGTTCTATAACATTTCTTCAATTTACTTAATATAATATTAGATGTTTAAGATAATTAATTCACGTGGTAACCACACTCACATTTACATATTTAAAATACATTAATAATTAGGGCTCCATATTATTTATTAAAAATTTCTAAAGGTTCTCAATTCGGTAATTCTGATTATGTGTTTTGGGCTTGAGCCCAACTTCGTAAATTTGGGCTCGAATCAGACTACACGGTATTTGCAGCCCAAGCAGTCAAAATTTCTGATTTTTGATTTAATGAAAATTCATGAGTTTTGAAAATAAAAATTCGGGGTATTACAGAAAACATCCCTAAAATTGCAAAGGGATATAATTTCTCTGTTTTTTTTTTTTTTTTTTTTTTTTTTTTTGGCAAAAGGGATATAATTTCTCTGTTTTTTTTTTTTTTTTTTTTTTTTTTTTTTTTTTTTTTTTGCAGAAATCGTAGACTATTAATTAATATAATATTTAACTAATTAATCTAATAATAATATTTTTTAACATATTGAATAACTCAAACTAAGTGCAAAATTGACAAAGTATATTGTACAATTCCTTTCTACTTACTATTTATCATTCTTTTTCTCTTTCTATTCCTAGTGATCCGATATGAGATAAATAGTTTAAATGTGTGTATATATATTTCACACAAATATATTCAAGAGAAGATTAAAAGAACTATCAGATTTCACATAAACTATTAGATCAATCAAATATTTATTATTCTTATTATTGTATGAAATTTTCTTACCTTTATTGTCATAATCCAATTATTTCTAAGCCTATTATAAAAGAAAAATATCACATATTCTTTTCTATAATAAAAAAAGAAAAATATTAGGTAGCTATTTTTTATCTTAAATAATTGTCTATAAGAAAAAGAAAGTGAAGGAAAAAGTTATTAAATATTCTCATATACACCACTTTATCATTTATTATTTTTTCGATAGAAGGAACTATAAAAAAATTAAATAACATAATATTTACATGTAATATAATTTCAAAATTTTGTATTTAAAAATTTATTTTATTTAAAATTTTATTTTAAAAAAATATATCCAATCAAATCATACAAACATAAAAAATAATATTAATGATTTTTTTTCTATTTTAATCTCCTCCTAAATAAAATATTTTAAATTATAATCAAAATAAAATTAAATAAATAATAAATTTTAAAAATAAAAAATAAAAATTTACAAATGTCTCACTATCATATATATTTATTAATTTACAAATGTCTCCCTATCATATATATTTATTAAAATAAATTTAAGATAAAACTAAATTTTGAAATACTTAATTTATCTATAATGTATTTAATTAAAAAATAATTTTAATAAAATTCTATTTTTTATAAATTATATCCAATCAATTAATAGACTTTATATATATGTATACTTTCACATAAATATATTCAAGAGAAGATGAAAAAAAAATATCAAAATTTACATAAACTATTATATCAATTAAATATTTATTAATATTATTATTATATAAAAAATTTTCACCTTTATTGCCATAATCTAATAATTTCTAAGAGTATTATAAAAGAAAAATATCACATATTATTTTCTATAATAAAAAAAGAAAACTATTAGGTAACTATTTTATTTTAGATAATCGTTTATAAGAAAAAGAAAATGGAAAAAAGTGAAGAAAAAATTAATTAAATATTTTAATGTACACCACTTTATTATGAAATTATATTATTTTTTCCATAGAAAGAACTAAAAAAATTAAATATTGTGGTTTCTGGAAATTTAAAACCCGATTTCCTCTATAAATTCTCTGATTCAAATGGCAGAGAAGTTTCCATATTTATACATGCGCCTTGCTCTAGCCTGAGCTATGCAACAACGAGATCCAACACGGCTCCGCAACTATTTGTTTTTTTGGAGTTACGCTTGTTTTGATAAGGGTTTCGGAATAGGCTTACTCTTCTTTGACTGAGCGAGTAAATCCTTACTTCTATAGCCCCAGACTCCTAAAAAGTTACGCCATATTTCGGACGTTATATGCAATATAATTTCAAAAATTTATATTTAAAATTTTATGCTATTTGAAAATTTATTTTTAAAAAATATATCCAATTAAATTATACAAACATAAAGAAAAAGGGAGTATTAATAAAAAATATTTTTTTTTCTATTTTTATCTCTTTCTTATCTTTATCTCCCTCCCTAAATAAATGTTTAAAATTATAATCAAAATGAAATCGAATAAATAATAAATGTCAAAAGAATAAAGATATTAAAATTTTCAAGATGTCTCCATTATATCATATATTTATTAAAAAATAAATTAAAAAATAAATTATATCCAATCAATTAATAAACTGTAATTTTTTAATTGACCGTCATTAAGGGTATTTTAGAACATTTTAAATTTTATCAAGGGTGATATAGGTAATCCCATTATTCCTCCCTCATTCTCGCTTTTATATATAGTATAGACTAGTTATTTTATGATGTGCGTTACACATTGTATTTAACTAATAGAGTCTTATAGTAAAGTGTTTTTTATAATATTTTAAAAAATCCAAGACAAAATCAATTAAAAGTTTTTAATTTCATTTTTGATATAGAATTAAAATTTTCGATTTACCTTCTAAAAAGCAATATCATATGAAAACCTATAATTAAGAACATTGAAATCTATCAATTATAAAAATTATTGGATAATAATAATGAAAGATCAAATCGAGAAAATACACTACATATTTAGCAATTTAAAATGCATAAAAAATCTAACTAAAAGGATATCTAAAAAGATAAATGAAATCTATTTTTTTCAATTAAAAGATAATAAAAAAATCCAACTAAAATAATCTTTAAAATAATAAATAGTTTCTTCAATTAAAATGAATAAAAAATCTAACTAAGTGGATTTATTAGGAATTCCAAATTAATCTAAGGCTATTATAGAAAATCTCATTATTCCCCCTACTCCCATATTTATATATATATATATTAGATAAATTATATATTATAGATTATAAATTAAAATAAAAAATTAATTAAAATATATTTTTAGTTTTAATAATCAGCTAATAATTAAAATGAAACTTTCTTTTCTAACGAAAAATCTAAATAATGTAATAGGTAGTGGGTCAATTTATACTGTATTAATGTGTGAACATGAGGAATAATATGATTTTCGATAACACCCTTAACCAAAATTTGAATATCATAAAATAACTTTAGTCTTGACCAATTATAAAATTATATTTTATTAATTTATTAGATATAATTTATTAAAATTATTTTTTATTTATTTTTTTAAATAATAATTTATTAAAATTATTTTTTAAATAAACACATATAGATAATTAAGCATTTCAAGGTTTTAAGTTTTATTTTTGATCTATTTTTTAATAAATATATATGATAATGAGGCATTTGAAATTATTAATATTTTTATTTTTAAATATTTAATTATCTTTTTATTATAATTTAAAATATTTTAATAGGAGAGAGATAAAAAATTATATTTTTTATGTTTATATAGTTTGATTGGATGTATTAGAATATACAATATTAAGTCTTTCAAAATTTTAAATTTTTATTTTAAAATTTTTTAAATAAAAAGGACATCTGTGTGTGAGAGATGATGACGATTGAAAATTTAATCTTAAAGATATATAATATTTCATTATTATATCTATATATATCTATATATTAAAACGTATTATTAGGTGGTATTGTAGAATTCTACATAATGCTGTTTTATTATTTAACCATTATATTCGCATTAATTTCATATAAAATTTTATTTTAATATTAATAAATTCTTATAAACATTTTAAATAATATACAAATAAATATTAAATCAATATATTGATATTAAAAATAAAAAAATGAATACTAATAAATTAAGTAAAAAAGTGAATAGAATAATATCTAATATTATAAAATTTTAAATAATATAAATAAATATTATAATCAATATTTGATATTAAAAATAAAAAATGAATACAAATAATAAGTAAAAGTGAATAAGAATATAAAAAAATTGAATAAAAATGAATAACATCTAACGTCAACCGCATCACAAAAAGACTAAATAATATAAAAATATTACAATATACATTCTTTTAAAAATTGAGAGAAAATTATTTTTTAAATTAAATTTTAAATTTTAGGAATGAGATAGCAATCCTCTCCCCAAACAAAAAAAGAAAAAAAAAAAAAGAAAAAAAGGGGAAAATCCACAAATCAAAAGAAATGATTGTGACTAAGCTCACACGCGTCTGTTGGGTCACACACTCTAGTTTTGTCCTTTCTCTGTCTTAAAACCTAGTTGAATTTTAGCAAAAATCTTGACTGGCATTAGTACTTTCCTTCTTTATGCCATCAAGTCTTTTAAAAATCCTTCACTAAAGCCAAACAGATCATTTTGGAGCCAATCTCTTTCTCCCTCTCTCTCTCATTTCATCCTCTGTTCCTCTCTTTCTTTGGAAGGTATCTAGGGTTCTCAACAGTGAATCTTCCCCATCGCTTACAAGGTAAGAGAATCTTCACTATTTGTTTTAGGGTTTTGAAAGTAAAATTATTGTCTGTACTTCTGTATCTCTCTGCTTTCTGCCTTGTTCTTTCTGTGGAGGTCGAGCAATAGGCAGTAGCTTTCGTGGGTTATTTTTTTCTTTGCTTATGCGCTGTCATTTCTTTTCCTATGAACTGGGTTTTAGTAATTTTTTATGCTTTTAAATTCTTGTTCTTTATTTTAATGTTTGGAATTATATGTGATTCTGTTTAGGCCTGTGTTTATTCTGTATGCCTGTTTATTGGTCAATTAGCAATTGTTCAAATGCTGTTTTGTTTGGTTTCTTAGAAATTACAGAGATGAGGAAGGAAAGTTAGCAACTTTTATGCTCGTTTTCCAGAATGGTAGGAATTCGTTTTTAACTAGGTGAAAGTGGAAGTGTTTGTTTCTGTAGGTTGGAAGTTGGAAGTTTGTTTTCTTTCATTTGCTTGTCTTTTCTTATCAGCCAAAAGGTTAACTTTTGTGGGCTCTTTTTGCTGATTCTTTTTTTCTGTAAAATGTTCATATACATGATATAGTACGCTTGACTTTCATTTTCTCTCATTTTATGAAATTGAGAGGGCTGTGATTTTAATTCAATATTTACATTCCAAGAAGTCAAAGTGTACTCATTACTTGTGATTTTAGCATGAATCTAGCGAATATGAATGGGTCAGGTTTTGTTTGTTAATTGGTGTATGCCTAGTCGGTTCATTTCTCCAATCTTCTTGATGGATGACTATCCGTGTCTCTGAAACAACCCAGTAATACGTAATCATATTTTGATTGCAACATGGTAGTGCAAAGAATGTTTATCTTTTCTTTTCTTTTTAAATGTAAATATTCCTTATGATGCCTCCTAATAGGATTAGGTTCCGGATAGTGATGCTATAACCCCTAATACTTGATCTTCCAGGGGGATTACGTGAGATATGCTGTTACTCTTTAATTAGGATTCAGCATAACAATATTTTAGTGATATGGCAACTGAGAGCCCTATTAGAATGCCCTCCCACAATGAGGCTGCGACTTTTGTATCATCAACTCCTAATATGTCTGTGGAGGATTTAGGATTGCTAAGGAAGGGTCAAAAGTTCCATGGTAATGGGAGAGACATGGTCCCCAATCGAAGTGGAAGCGCACCTCCAAGCATGGAAGGTTCGTTTCTAGCCATAAACAACCTCATTTTCCAGCATAACACTAACTTGGGGAATTTAAATAGTGCTGTCCAAAACTCTCAGCCAGAGAAGCAATCATCATATTTGGCTTTTTATGATTCCAATATTAACCTGAACCCTAGACTTCCAACACCACCCATTTCTAGGGAGAATCGGCACATGGGAAGCCATATTGGTAGATTTGGCAGTAATTGGGGGTTGACTTCAGTAGATGACAGCGGTAACATTTCCTTGCATTTGTCACAAGTTACCCTTTCTACGCACAAGGAAGAGTCAGAAGATGATAATTCACCCCATCAACCCTCTGATGATTTGATAGGCCAGACAAATGGGTTTTGGTCTGGTGAGGATTCATCTGCATTGATTGGCCAGTCCAGAAGCCTGGTTGATTTATTTCAGGTAGTAATTTTCCTGACCATTTCATTACTCTATCTATTACTCTGACAATAGTTAACTATGCTCGGATACATTTTTGGAGTAATTCCATAGCTGAGATGAAATTTGTTTTAGCCCCTGATTCTGACTTTGTTCCATTCCTGTTGCATGACTACAAAATTCATAATCATTGGTTCATATTTTCAGGAGGATTACCCTCGAACTCCATCACCTGTATATAATCAGGCTCACTCCTTGAGTCCTGGAACAACAGATGAAGCAGCTGATCGCGATGCTGATTCCAGTTTGTTGTATAATCCTCCTGCTGACACAATGAATGCTGCTGCATCATCTCTAGGTACTGATAGGATAGTGTTATCATCAGTTGCTGCTCCCTCAACCACTCTTGTTTCAAGCTCATCACCTCCTAAATGTACAGGAACCACACAACCAATGCAACCACTTCGGCAAGGAAATTTAAATAGTGCAGATGTTATTGTTCTTGAATCTAAAATGAAGGGTCTTAACATATCTAGCCTTCCGGATTCAAAAGACCAAAAGTATCAGCAACAATGGCAACATGGCTATCATGGAAATATGCTGCAGCACCAAGTAATCCAACAACAGAACAATTCATTTCAAGTTCAAAGTGTCAAGTCTCAAATGGGTGCCCAGGGAGCAAATTCTGCATATGTTGAAATGAATCAGTTTCTCCATGGCCCTTCAAAATTCTCAGCAGAAGTGCAGCCAGTATTACAGTCATCTGGTTTCACACCTCCTCTTTATACACCGGCAGCAGCGTACATGACTTCATCAAATCCGTTTTACCCTAATCTACAGCCTCCTGGTTTATATTCTCCACAATACAGTGCGGGAGGATACACTTTGAATTCAACTGTTGTTCCTCCTTTCTTGGCTGGATATCCTCATGGTGCTATTCCAATGGTTTTTGATGGTTCTGCTGGTCCAAACTTTAATGCCCACATGCCTGGGGCTTCAACTGGAGGGAGCATTGACAATGGAACTGATATGCAACATTTGAACAAATTCTATGGTCATCTTGGATACCAAATGCAACCTCCTTTTACGGATCCTGCATATACACAATACTATCAACAGTCTTATGGACCATCTTATAATTTTTCTGGTCAATTTGATCCACTGGCTTCTGGTGCTAATGTTATTGGGAGCCAAAATAGTACTCCTGACACAAAGAAAGGATCAGAGGTTAATGTTGCCTCAAATGACCAGAAATTGTACCACCAGCTCAGTGGAGGGAGTAACCTGTACCAAGGTAGGGGGGGAATAATTAGTCATTATTTTGGGAGCCCCTCAAACATGGGTATCTTGATGCAATACCCATCATCACCACTTGCTAGTCCAGTTTTGCCAGGATCCCCTGTTGGAGGGACTGGGAGTTCTGGAGGGAGAAATGAGATGAGGTTCCCATTGGGTACTGGTAGATTTCCTGCTGTATATTCTGGATGGCAAGGCCAGAGAGGATCAGAGAGTTTTAATGATGCTAAAATATATAATTTTCTTGAGGAGTTGAAATCTGGCAAAGGCCGTAGATTTGAGCTATCTGATATTGCTGGGAATATTGTTGAATTTAGGCAAGTGCTAACTGTGCTTTATTTTCTTTGTTTCATTTTTGTGTTGGAAACTCAAATGATGAAGACTTTTAAACTTCAGTGCTGATCAACATGGGAGCCGATTTATTCAGCAGAAGTTGGAGACTTGTAGTGCTGAAGAAAAGGCATCTGTATTTAAGGAAGTTCTTCCATTCGCTCCAAAACTAATGACTGATGTTTTTGGAAATTATGTGATTCAGAAGGTGAGTGTGAAATATACAGTTCTTTTGTTAAGGTTTATCTGGTCAGCTAGCCATGCTAATTTCCTTTTCTTTTATTCACTTGCAGTTTTTTGAGTATGGAAGCCCTGAGCAAAGGAATGAACTTGCTAATCAGCTTACTGGTCAGATTTTAACTCTAAGTCTGCAAATGTATGGTTGTCGTGTGATCCAAAAGGTATGTTAGTTTTATGATGCATATATCCTGCACTGTTATCACTGTCCATTATCTGATTATTTTCATTTCCTGTCCATGCGTGACCATTTGCATACTTTTTCTACTCGATCCTTTTTTTTTTTTTTTTAAAGGTATGTTAGTTTGTTTATGATGGGGCATATATCCTGCACTGGTTATCAAAGCTGTCGCATTATCTGACTTAATTTTCATTTTCCTGTCGCATGCGTGACCATTTGGCATACTTTTATCTAGCTCGATTCCTTTTTTTTTTTTTTTTTTTTGAAGTTATAGATTTACAGTGTTCATGGATTATAAAGCGCGATCCTTTTTTTTTTTTTTTTGAAGTTATAATTTACAGTGTTCATGGATTATAAGCGTTGGTGTATATTGCTGCATTTTAGCACTCTTTTACTCCAATGAAAAATATTATTTTACTGTGAAGAAAAGAAAATGTTTGGTTCTTTCAATTGCTGTTGATGTTCTGCTTAAGTAGGAATTGTAAGTAGCCACTACTGGGATTTATGAACTCTTGTCTGGTAGACATCTTTACATATTTTCCTGGTGTAGGGTGAAATTGTGAACGCTAGGGAGATAATTAATCAGTCATCCCACGCTGTAATGTAGGTCTGTTCCTGCTTTGAATGATACAGGCTTTTTACCATCATACATGCCGAAACTTTCTGATTGTGGATGTATCTTCTAAATAGTTATTCAAAGTGGTGTTTGAATGTAGTTTAGTAGAAATCTGAAATTACCATTTGGTAATGCTTCTATATTTTGATTCATGAACGCTGTCTGGAACTTTGGCTGGATCTTGAGGGCATAATTCTTTTTCGCCCAAAGTTGTGAGGATAAGTTGGCAAAGTTGATTTTTATTAGCAAGCCATTCAACCCAGTACTTTTGACTCTGAAAGGTCTCGTGAATTCTCTGCTTTGTCTCTTCTTTCAGATTATGCAGCATTTTTTTTATTCAAACTGACTGCTAAGTCTATTTCGTTATATTCGCTGTTACGTGGAATGCACAAGTACAAAAGGGGGAAAAGTGGGGAATGCAAGTCAGAAATAAATGGATTTTTATATTTTTTTATCTGATATGGTTGTCTACTACCCAAATGAGATGCACTCGATGCAAAAATTTTAGGTGTAGCAACTACCACAGTTATGATCATGATTTGAACAGGTCCAAGTTAAAACCTCTGGAATATGTAGGTCTTTAGCTCAATTCCAAAGGAGAAATATGATTTAGATTGGAAATGATGAGGTCCTAAAGTTATGTAGTATATGTAGTCATGTGAGACTGCATGCTTTTCTGTTGTGAACCCATTCTCCAACTTTTCAGTGCTCAATTGTGGAAGAGGTTGAGGGGAAGGGACAAACATGAGATTGGAAGAAGGAGGGAAACTTTGGGGAAAGAGAGGAAGTATTGCTTAAAATGCAGCTCTTTTAATCTTTTTTGCACTTTTAGACAAAACCTTTTAATTTAACAGAGCAAGCATAAACTTGATGGCCAAAATGAACTGTGGAGAAGGATTCTCTCTGCTTTCTACCAAATTGAACCTCAAGTTATCGATTTCTTTATTTTTTTTCTTCACCCCTCTCTCCCATTCTATCTGCGTGTATATAATATATAGTCTTTACTTATCCGGTTAATGCATTCTTCTCTGTGCTTCCTATATTCAGAGCTCATGTGACCTCTTTGTCTTCTTTAGTTCTTTGCTTGTCTTCTTTTATGTTTAGGATTCTGATAATCACATAAACAATAATCCCATGATATACAAGTAAAACTTAGCAAAAGCAATAAGTTTGCTGTGCATAGTTTAGAATGAATTTGTAGCTTTGTCTAATCTTTTTATCAAATAAAATAAGCCAACTTTGAACCATCTAGGTAAAATGTTTTGTAGGTTAGACTTACTCTTTAGGAGCAAAATCTGTTTGCCAACATGCTGCAATATCACTAGTGCCATATTTCTGTGACTGCAGGATATTTTGCTGCGGGCAAAAGTTGATTTTTGCTAACATTTGTTGGGTGTTAATGGATGTTGTGGAAAGCCTACTTAAATAGTGTTAACAAGTAATTATTTGTTTTACTTTGATTTATGTCAGAACTTTTGCTGAACAGAGTTATTAGGTTCCTTGTTCTGAAACTATAATTTCTATTGAAAATATTGATTTTCATTCTATTATGGGTTAGGCACTTGAGGTAATTGAGCTTGATCAGAAAGCACGGCTTGTTCGTGAACTGGATGGACATGTTATGCGATGTGTACGAGATCAAAATGGCAATCATGTGATACAGAAGTGTATCGAGAGTGTTCCAACAGAGAAAATTGGATTCATAATATCTGCCTTCCGTAGTCATGTTGCATCACTTTCTATGCACCCTTATGGTTGCCGTGTCATACAGGTATTAATATTTAACTGGTCTATTGGCAGCTCACCTATGCTCGTTTTCTTTCACCTCCTTACATTATATATGCGAATTATATGAAACTTGGATGTTTATGGCTTATTGTAGAGGGTTCTAGAGCATTGTACAGATGAGCTCGAATGTCAGTTTATAGTGGATGAGATTTTAGAGTCAGTCTGTGTTCTTGCTCAGGATCAGTACGGTAATTATGTTACTCAGGTCAGTTTTGCTCTTGCACTGTGTCACTTGGAATTTTTCTGTAAATATAACTTGAAAATATCATCATGCCTGATGGAAATGCATTCTCTAAGAATTATTCTTCAGTTGCATATTTCACTAACTTCAGTAGCAATTTGATTCTTCTTGTTATGTTTCTGGTGTGCTAAAATTCATTTTATAGTGGATCCATGATATTAATTAAGCTTCAAAGATAACCGGGAGGGTGGCTTTGGGGATTGCCTACTTCATCTCACAATTTTCTCTTGTTGTATGCACATAATTTGAACATATAAATATTTTTTGTTTAAATTATAAAGTTATTGTTTTTATATTTTCATAATCTTATGCAATTTCATCCTAAAACTGCTAATTTTTTTGGTAAATTACACCCCTTTTAGGCTTCACATAATAGGTGCTTTGGTCCCTACATTTTCTAAATTAGCTTTTTTTAGTCTTCATTGGGGATTCAGTTCACAAAACAGTTAAATATGGAAGAAATGATATAAATCTCGTCCAACTAAAGAAGTTCACAAAATTATAGTAGTCTTATTCTCTCTCCTCCATAAATCTCCCTGTTTGCATGTCAGAACTTGTCATCTTTTGAGGATGGAACTGAAAGCTTTGCTCCCCCTCTTGCTCCTCTTTCCCCTTTCCCCCTTTTTTCCCTCTCACTGTTGTTTCTGTGGCAACTCACCATCTGACTGGAAGCTAGGCAAGGAAAATGACAGCGCAGACTCGAGCAAATTGATCATGAGAATTCAGGAGAGAAGAATAATTTAAAAAATAAAAAGGAACAGTCTCCTGCCTTTTGTCATGGAATCAAGCGTATTTGAAGGTTCCTCGTGGCACCAAGCAAATCCAAAATATGGCAGAATCTTTTCTTTTTTTTTTTTTTTTTTTTTTTTTTTTTTGGCGCCTGGCAGCGCTAAATTTTTTTTTTTTTTTTTTTTTTTTTGGGCGCCTGCAGGCTAAATTTTCTGACTTCCAGTTCATTTTAAGATTATTCTTTTTCTGCTTAATATGATTTATTCTTTTCTTTTGGAAGTTTATAAATAACAAAATATTTAAAATTTAGTTATTAGTATGCAGATTAGAAAGGGAAAAGTTTGTAATTAAGGTGAAAGGGCAAATATGTCCCTTCAGCTATTGAATTTGGGATGCCTCACTTGATTTGTCGTAATCCAAATGTCAACCCATTTGGAGAATGGCTAAAAGAAACAAGGATAAAAAATGCTAGACTTCAAGGGATTTTAAAAATTAGAAAGAAAGAACATCTCTTTTTGGTATTATTTGTCATGATTGTTTCCAAAAGTATTTCTTATTTTAAAATTGTTGTATGAGTTTTATTTTCCATTTACCTGACGCTTAGAAAATAATTTTCAATGTAAACAAGAAAAGGATGTCACAGTGCCTGTAAAATATATATGTTTGTATATATACATAGAAAGGTGTTAAATTTAATTGATTTTTTTTAACCTTTAAATTTGTAACCTATAACTAATTACAGTAAATTAATAAGTTAAATTTAATAGATACCTTTGTTTTAAGCATTAAACTGATTTTTTGATCTACTAAATATTATTGTTTTTTTGTAAGGGGAATCTTATGATCATTTAAACTATACTATTTACTTAATGCTACTGGTAATTCTCAATTTTCAGAAACCACGAATGATTAAATGCTTTGAATGGGGCCAGTCTTAAATTATTAAGAAGGGGGTAAAAATGAAATTAGCCTCTATAATTTGAAAGGATTCTTTTGGGGCAGAGGGAGCAAGTGCCTCCCATTCTAAATATGGCCATGTTTCCCATGACTTAAGGAGAAGGAAGAGCAAGAGAACATAGAGAAAAAACTGAAGATTTTTGTTAGAGCCGATTTTAGATGAGGTGCATTTGAAATGAAAGTTGATACATATTTCTATTTCAAGTGAAAAAGCATAAGATGCCAGTGCCATATTATTCAAAATCTATCCAAATGAACTCTTAATGAATTTGCTGTAAATGATAGAATCCTTTACAAAGAGTTAAACCTATGTAACTGAAAATGCGGCAGGACAAGAGGAAGGGAACCTTCCCAAAAGAAAAGACTGTTTATAGATTATAAATGATAATGGTGACTAAGCTTCATTTCTAGCTACAAGGGGTGTAATTGAGTTGAGTCAATAAAGGGTATTTTTTTTGCTTAATTAATATTAACATCAAGAAGAACGTATTGATTAATCCAAATTCATACTCGAATTAACTTGACTGCATTTTCTAATTAGAGAAATAACTTAAATATTATACAGGACAAAATCTATTTAAATTATTATAAAAGTGTAGAGCTTTAGCTAGACCCATGAGTGTTGTGGGTTTAATACTCAAAAATTGCTCAATTCATTGGTTGAGCTTCTAGAGTTCAAACTTGATCTGATTAAAACTAGCTGAAATCAAATATATTGCAATTCAAGCTTGTGTCAAGAACAACTTCCCTACTTTACACCTCTACCTACAATTAGGGAGTTTGGAATGGTTAGACTCGAGTTTGCCAACTGATTTTGCATAGGACTGATAAGTGTCAAGAAAAACTTCCCTACTTACACCCCTACCTGCAATTAGGGAGTTTGGAATGGTTAGACTCGAGTTTGCCAGCTGGTTTTGCATAGGATTGATACACACACACACACACACACATATATACAAACACACACACATATGCACACACACAGAGACACACATGCACACATATATATGGGCTCTTAAATGTTCAATCAATAACTCAGCTTTGGTTAGCTTTTTAGTAGCAAATGCGCTCATTAAGTCATTTTTTCATTTTATTTTGTTACTCAAAATTTATAATTAATTAATAAATTATCTTTTTGTGGCATCGTTAGTTTCATTGTTTTTCTTTTTCCTTTTGTTTCTTTCATAAAGAAACTTAAAATTTAAATTACCCCCTAAAGATCCTCTCTCTCTGTCTCTCTCTCTCTCTTCACATTTTTGGGCATTCTTAAATTTCTTTAAGCTTTGTTTATCTTCAAAAGTGTCTTGAGCATTTATTTACTATCTTTCACTGATAGGCTTTATCTCTCTTGTTCTGATGTTACTCCTTTACGGGGTCATTTTAAATAAATCCACTTTTAACTTTTAAGTGGGTTAGATGGTTAAATTAGCTAACAAGACTTCACCAACCTTTTCAATTTTGGAAGAAAAATTGAGTTTATTATTATTTTTGGGGTTCTGGCTTTGCAGAAGATGCATATTATTTGATGCACACAAATCTAAGTTGGAAATTGTTTATCCTTCATAATATTATGTTAATAAAAAATTTTTGATTTGGATGATTAAGTAATAATGAATTGTTGTGGGAATTGGTTAAGAGATGTCTTGATGAGTTGGTGATGTTGTTAAATTCATTATATAAGATGTGTTAACTATTGGATGTATCAAAATTAAAATTGAGTCCATGGATTGTCACATCTTATATAAATTAAAATGAGTCCATGGATTGTCACATTCTTATATATATATACTATATAATAATATATATATATTACTAATTTGACTAAGAGGGGGTTGGTTTGGCTTTTAAGTCGGTCCAAACCTACTTTTAAGTAGAAAGTCACTAGCAAAAATGGTATGTGGTTGTGGACTTATAAGATAAAAATCTACTTAAAATAATCATAAAGTAAGGTACCCCTTGCTTTCTGATTATCTACTTGTACATATATTACTAATTGAACTAAGAGGGTGTTTGGTTTGGCTTTTAAGTCGGTCAAACCTACTTTTAAGTAGAAAGTCACTAGCAAAATGGTATTTGGTTTGGACTATAAGATAAAAATCTACTTAAAATAAGTCATAAGTAAGGTACCCCTTGCTTCTGATTATCTACTTGTTACTCTTTGGCTGAGTAAAAGACTGCGATATCCTATTAATTTCCAAAAATATTAACAGTACCCTTACTCATGAACCCTTTGACTTTCTGTTTAAGGAAGGTACCCTTTTTGGTATTTGAAATGAATTAGATTACTTCTAAATACCTATTGACCAAACATACGCAATACTTAAAAAATAACTTTTAAACTGTTTTGCCGAACAATTTAAATGATTTTTTTTTTTTTAAATTTACTTATAGAATAAAAGATACATTTTTAAGTAAAAAGTTAAAAGTATCCAAACTAAACGCCCTCTAAATCTATGAATTAAATTTAGATGCTGAATTGTGTCATTCCAAGATAACCGTTTTGTAAGATTAACACCTATACATAGTGTGTACACTAAGGACAGCAATATATTATTTTTTGGTGTCCATGGGGTCATTATGATAACAAATTGCTACATAAAAATTGATGATATCATTTTTTGAAAGTGTTATCTGATATTTATGTATTAAGTTTTATGAATTTTTTGCATATTTATTTATTTTGTCCCTTTACTAAAAGGTAGCTAGTGATGGGAATTCTGCAAGTGTTTTATGTCTACATACACATGCGTGCACACACAGACACTTACACGTGCACACACACACGCACACACACAAATACATATAGTGTGGGTCTACAGCAATTTAGATAATGCTTTGTTTTGTTTAGAACTTGAGTGTGCTTATTGTGAATGTGAGCATTGTACTACATGTTCTATGTTTTAATAGTTTAAATACATGCAAAGCATTCTTTTGTTTTAGGTACAATTTGATGAATAAGCTCCTGGCTATTGGATTTTGGGAGCTGCTAAAGCTGTTATTGCGTTGTTTGATTTCTTTTTTCTTTTAACAGCACGTGTTGGAGAGAGGAAAATCTCAAGAAAGGTGCCAAATTATTAGCAAGTTGTCAGGGCATATTGTACGACTGAGCCAGCATAAATTTGCATCTAATGTCATTGAGAAATGTTTGGAGTATGGTGGTGCCAGTGAGCGGGAACTAATAATTGAAGAGATTCTTGGGCAGAGTGAGGGAAATGATAACTTACTGGTAAGTTGAACTCAAGCACTTACGAGGCTTAAAGCTTTTGGGCATATAGTCTATGTAACTATGCATATTGTTTGGACTTTGGAGGTTTTTGTGAATGCATGTATCTCCTTTTTTTCAAGTATTCTAAATGGATATTATCATCAACAAGACAGCATATAATCTTCTGTGTTTTTCTATCGACAGAGGTTATTATTAACTAGGTTCTGGTTAATGTTGTTCCAAGAGGTATTTGTACAGCTCTTGCTCTGTGTATGTCATAAATGAATTGAGCTTTATATATGTTATGCAAAGTGCAATTATTACACGTTTAGATAGAAAAAGACGCTTCTCTCGACGAGTCACAATGGTATTTTAAATGCTGCTTTGTACTATCTAGAAGCTTCCTGGTATTATATACTCGGTGAAGTGTGTAATCTCTGAAATTTGAAGTGTCTGCTATTCTATGACATGATCATTTTAATTTTGAACTTTTGGCTGTGACCAGGCTATCACTTATGCCGTCTCTCCTTTGTAGGTATTCCAGCTTACTGTAAGAAAAAACTTATTTATTGTGTGATAATCCTTTATTATTCAAAAGATTTAGATATGCTATATCTTTCTATATCTAATGCAAAACCGAGAGGAATGGTAAAAATAGATTTATTAACCAACAAGACCTAGTTTGGGATTAGGGCTTGGTTGTTTCTGTTGTATAATCATATATTATCCAAATTTTAATCTGCGAAGCATTGGAACTTTGTTGCTACCTGAAAGAGGTTAAATCTGGACACTTTTTTTTTTTTGGTTTTCATCTTTAAAGGAACTAATAAAGTGGACAAGAAAACTTCAAAATTACGTATCAATGTGCCAAGGTATAGTCAATTTCCAGCTTCCAATTGCTTTCCTCATGGTTTTCAGAACTGGATTGCGTTGCAGAGCCTGGCTGGTTGAACTAGAGAAACCAGTTACCAGTTAAGCACCAGTTCAGTTCTGATTTTGAAACATTTTCCTCATAAAGCACTTAAACCTGCTAGGTAAATGGTTACCTGGTAGTAGTTCAAGCCAAAAAAGCACGTTAAACCAATGTGGTGTAGAAGTTCCCAGGTTATAGGAACCATTCAGCTACAGATGAAATTCTGATGCTCTGCAGTTTTTTCTTTTAATTTTTATTTTTTTGCTTCGCAAGTTGGAAGGATAGAAATTTTATTTTGTAGTACAATGAAAATCATTTTATTTTATTGTTTTGGTTATTTATGTATTTCTCTTAGCATAGAGATATTAGTGTTTACAATTTTCAATTTCATTGTGAAGATGATGTCAACGCATTTTAATTTGGTTCAACTATTAATATTAAATACCAAGCAGAGCTCACTTGCACAAGGAACTGACAAATATAATACAATTGGCTGGTTTTTGAAAAACATGGCTTCACTGTAGGATCCAGTTGTGTTTAATTTATTCTGCCTTACCTTTCTCTTCAACATGTGCAGTTTCCAGGTGCTTGTTGAACTCCTTTCCACACTCGCATCTTTTTTCCCCAATGTAGTTTAAGAGTTTAAATACGATAATTTATCTTAATAACTTGGGCAGTTCTTCCTTTACATGTTATTATTCTATTTTGAGGCCTTCATTTTATTTTTCTTACTATTTTCTCTGGTTTCTATGTACTAGATTATGATGAAGGACCAGTTTGCAAATTATGTTGTTCAGAAGATCCTTGACACATGTACTGATACTCAACGAGCAATGTTGTTTGACCGTATAAAAACTCATGTTCATGCTTTGAAAAAATATACTTACGGGAAGCACATTGTTGCTCGATTTGAACAACAATGCGGGGAAGGTAAGTGCTTTTAGAATCCTGCCAACACTGCATGTGTTCTAAATTGACCAGTGATTCTTTATTTGTAAACATACTCCCTGTTGCTTAGCTTGAATCAGGCATTATCATGTTCACATCTTCTTCCAACTTCTCATGAAAAAATAATTTATCTGGTTGGATGCTTCCATTTTGTTATCTGAGTTGTATTTGGGTAGAACGTACCTTGTATTTTGATTCCTCCTCGGAAGATTTATTTATGGCTAAATTTTCCTCTTTTTTTTTTTTAATTGTCGCTGGCTCCTTACATCTGCTTGGCTGGTGTAAGCATTTAAAGTATATCATACCGTAATTACCAAATACACTTGCATATGAAAAGCCCCTCGCCTTTAACCGAACTCGTTTTGATGAAATGACCAAATAGGGAAAATTATATAGCTTCTCTCTTCCCCATTTTTGCATCCTGTCAATGGCATCATCATTAATGGAACATGAACAAATGATCTATTGGGTACGGATGATATTTTTTTATGTTGCCTTTTTTAACTGTCTCCCTTATGCAGAAAATCAAGCACTGTGATCATAATCGACAATAACAAGTATCTGTGAAGGACGGTGCCAGTTATTCTCTCCTTTCTTCTGGCATTTAAAAGGAATACATGGAGTTGTGTCGTGTTCTTTGACTTGATTATGTTTACTACGATTGCTTCTGTCGTACGAAATCTTCCACCAGTAATAATAGGGTTGACATTGTAAAATCGGTAAATATGTGTGCTTTCGAACAGTTTGCTTTCATGTTTTATAGCTCAAATATCCAGGTCCAAAGAAAAAGGACAAAAAAAAAAACAAAAAAAGAGTAACAGTAGGAAGTGTAGATTGCAACAGATGGAAGATGAATTATTTGGAAGGGAAAGCTTTGTGGTGGCTGATGTAAAATTGTTGGTAGTTTTGTTTCTATGAAGTATATTTATACGTGTAATGAGCAAGAAATTAGTCATGATTTGATTGGCTAGAAATAGAAATCAAAATTTCAGTTCCATTCATTTGCTTTCTCAACTAAACATGGAATGGGGTTTTATAGCGTAGTGCATCAATAGCATGTAAGCGTGCGGCTTTGCTTTAATTTTGGTGTTTTAAGTTTTAGTTGCACTAATTCTATCTACTGAAGGAAAATCTTCTGGAACGAAAGGAATTGATTGATTTTAACTATCTGTTGGGTTGAGAAAAAAATTAGACATTAACCTGATTTCACTTTTGTTATTTGAATCTGTTTTATTATTAGAAATCTTATTTTAGTTAAACAAATGGATAGTGGGTTTCTGAATCTTTTGGAATCGGAGTAAAATCACAATCTCTATTTATAATTCATAAAATCATTAAGTTTCGAAAGAGGGAAATCTCATCTCACATTGCATCAGTTTGCAGTATATCGAGTTTTATTAGTGATGGAATTTGAGTAGATTCTAAATTCCATGAATTTTGTGAAATTCATGAATTTTATATCAATTAATATTGAAAAAGGAAAAGTCTTTTAGAAAGGGTAAACCATAACGAAATGTTCAACGATGCAATTAGAAAGAAAGCTGCAGAAATTCCTTGTTATGCTCCTCACATAGCAGAAGCAGAAGCACAGGTCCCCAGGAATACTTTCAGGTTTGTCGAAGAAAAAGAATGGCAAAGAAGTTGTGTTACTGAATCTGATTCCTCAGTCTCACTGACCACTGAGAGTTTAAACCACAACCTTGGTATATTGCTTCTATGACCATAGAGATCAGAAAAAGAGTCATTAGCAAGCGAGAACGTTGTTTCAGGAAGATACACAGCACAAGCAAATGCAGCTGCAAGCTTTGAGTTAATCCTCCACCTGATTTTGTAAATATTTCTATTCTTCCAGTACTAAAAATTGCTTAATGTTATATTGTATAATTTTCTTATGAATTGATGTGATGCATCAATATTGTTTCTTGTGCCTGTATAATGAATTATCCTTATAAAAGCCAAATTTAGACAATTCTGAAACAATGGTTTTACAGACAAGCAGCCCGAAATAAGAAATATGGGAAACTTCTAATAAAAGCCAATTTGAAGGCCCTATGCAATCAAGGTTGAATATTTTTTACATGCAAACAAAATAATATTGGAAAACAAAATTTTGCATTCCTTGCTATCTTCCTAATACCCTCCAAAAGTAAATAACACCTAAACAAAACAATAATTTTAGGTTTTCGCTAGAAAATTTTCCATTACTTAATACTTTCAAAATTTATCCTTCCTTTTTCGACCAGTGTATTTTGTGTCTGGAGGCACAATATTTCCTTTGCTTCTCATTTGATCCTTTTTCCTCAGTATCCATTTTCTACCCTTCCCCTCCGTGGTTACTTTTTGCCTCTTCCTAGGTCTATTTCTGTCTGCAACGAAAACCTGCAGAAGAAACATGCATAAATAATGATTAGTAGTTCGAAGAACACCCTCACCAGAGAAGTCCAATGATTGGAGAATAAGCTCAAGACGAACTCACTGTCCCATTTTCTCCATCATCATCAGAGCAAATTTCTCCGTTTTCACCTTTTCCCTTGGGAAGGGCTGTGTCTAAGGATGGTGGTCCACAAGTGAGAACAAGGAATTCTTTCTTGCTCTTGGAACTGCATTGAAATTATTATTCATGGATTACTGACCCATCAAAGTAAAAATAGTATGGAACATTTTGTTTTCAGACTAATTATAATAGCGCGTGGCACTCTATTTAGGAACAAACGAACAAACATATTAACTCACAATAGTATGGGTAGAACTGAATAAACTACTGCATCAAAAGGTGCTCAAGAATCAACAACATAGTGGAATGAAACCTGTTTTGGCCCCTCAAAGGGCAGAAACTACACAGATAAGGTTATGCAGCAGCACATCAAGGAAAGAACGAAAGGAGGTTCGAAAGGCAGTTGAGGAATCAAAATCGTACTCTTTCTCTGCTATTGCATTCAGTGTTCCTCTAGGGAATCAAGAAAGATGATTTTAGTAGATACTCTTCCTCTCTAGGAAACTGAAATATGGATTGAGAATCTTGTACTTTTCAAGGAAGCCTTACTTGGCAGGCTCTCATAGAGAACTAGTAAATTACACTTCATTTTAATGCATCGGTGCATATATCTTAAACTTGGCAGCGCTCTCATCAGAGAACTAAAGTAAATTACACTTCATTTTAATGCATCGGTGCATTATATAATCTATATATATATATATTATATATCATATTATGTATGGTTCCAAATTAGGTTAGTTTACCTGGTAAGCCTAACACTTGGTTTCACAGAACTAGAAAAAATGGATCACATACCTTCCTATGGCAACTAGTAGTGGTAGATGCCAAAATTCAAACAAATATAGAACTATTTATGTCACTAAACGACATCTGAGATAAATGGGGCTTAAATTATAGACCACGACAACAGCAACAATGAAACCCAATAGCTAGAGGACCTTTAGCATTGAATGAAAAGTAAGCAGGTATATATGTATGGGTTTCCAAATTAGGTTAGTTTACCTGGTAAGCTAACACTTGGTTTCACAGAACTAGAAAAAATGGATCACATCACCTTCTATGGTCAACTAGTAGTGTAGATGCCAAAATTCAACAAATAAGAACTATTTATTGTCACTAAAGACATCTGAGATAATGGCTTTAATTATAGACCACGACAACAGCACAATAAACCCAATAGCTAAGGACCTTTAGCATTATGAAAAGTAAGCAGGTCCAAATAATCATTGATTTTCCAACAGACAAGATGAAAAACTGACTTAAAATTCTACTAGATGCATAGAATACCTGTGTGGATAGTCAACAACCACACCACCAGAAAACCCAGCAAGCATAGCGGATTTTACAATCAACTCACTCTGGGCTTGATTTTCGGGATATATTTGAAATGCTGCTTTTGCTCCCCTTGCAAGGCATCTATATAATGATCCAAAGAAAGCCCTAAATTGAAATTGGTAGGCAATTAACAACGAATGAGGATAGACATCAGTAAGATAGGCATCAATAAGTGGTTCAAAAATAATCCAACTAAATGAATCATGCGTAATTTTTTTTATTATCCTACATAAATTGCATAAACTTAAAAAAGAAAAATAGACATACTTCAGCCTTCGTCTTGGCTCATGGGAGGACTTGTCAGCATTGCATAACCACTGCCATGTCAAATATAAAAAATAAAAAATAAAAATAAGGAAAATTGAGAAAAAAACACTCAATATAGTTCATCAACTAATATAAATGAAACATGAGAATTCAATACACAAAGTACAAATTCTAAGTATCATTACATCAACCACCATGTGATGGAAGTTTTTATCATTTTCCACTAAGAACACCTTCCATCATTAAACCAAACCTAAAGAGGTGCATGCCACATGCATATACACACACAAGGACTATTGTGATACTTTTAGGTCATGGTATGGGGTGGTACATGTCACACTCCCTCCATTGACAAATTATAATCCTCTTTGGACTTTGCACGAAAATTAAGAAAGGTCATTTAAAAGGGATATATTTTTATAGTTAACAACTTTACCCTCATTAATTATTTAGGTGAAAAAATAGCACTAATATCAGTGAGAATTATTTGGAGTACATTGCCAAAAACAACATTTTGAGTTGAATTTAACTACATTGCCAACCCTCCTTAATTGTTGCTAAGTTTTTTATGCTGAAACATTGCTCCTATAAGCATTCCATGGCATTTCTATGACAGAATTTTTTTCCTAACAAAAACACAATATAAATTTAGAAATTGATTGGGTCAATATCATCTATTCTCAAAGGCTTGGGACAGGGAAATATAATTTAAAAGCCTAAAAGCCAGAGTATAACTTCGCAATTGGTATTACAATTTTCAAGCACAAAACTGTAATAATGAAAAGCAATAAATATATCATTTAATCAAATGTTTTGAAGAACAGACATCTAAGATCCAAAAACCAAAATCAAAACACCATTTTACCAATTAGAGAAAGAGATGACAAAAGCTAACTATTTTCTTTTGAGGGACAAACACACAACCACATATCATTTTCTCTAATAAAACTAACATTGTAACACAGTCGATGATGTTTTACTTAACATGCCAACTATAGGTTCGTAAGTGAAAAATCTCCATAAACCCCACTGCAAAACCATAGCAGCAGCTTCAAGATGACCACAAGTAATGTTGTTCTTTCAAAATTCGATCTCTTGATTTCCCCTCTCTACACAGCCCCGATCTAAAATCCCCACCCCACAAGCTAATCATACAGGAATAACAGCAGAGAAGTCCTTGCATAACTACATGACTCAAGCAGGCAGAAATCAAGTGATAACACATAATAAAGGAATCAGAGAAACATGGTGTAGATTAAAGAAAAAAATGCAACAATATTATATGATATCAGCACAATGAATAATCTAACCTGAACAGCAGAGATACTAATGGCACCATCAATAACTCCAGGACGAAGACCTAATCCCTGCAACATAGTGTGAACATGTAATCATCCAAAGAGAGCAATCTATTAGAGCAAACAGTCAAATAAGATTGCAAGTTCATCACACGTGTCACCATCATTGTTGAAATAACGTCAAACAGTAAAACCAAAATGCCAGATCTAGAAAGAGCATTAAGGACACATCTGAAAGATTTATTTAAAAAAAAAAAAAAAAAGGTTAACCAGAAGTTAAGTCATAAACCAAGGTATGAAAACTCCAAAATCATAAAACTAGTCTATTGCAGTTCTAATTTATATTTTAAACCATAGACCCTATCCACCATGTGCGTCCAGCAATGCTTACACAAGCCTGATTCAGTCAATGTGATCAATCAAATGGGTTACCCAAGAACCTCGCATGCTGAATCACAGGCCATGAATTGTACATTACCTCATAGCCTTAACATGCTTCATTTTGAATGTCTTTCAGCTGACCATTGTCATTCTGTAAGCTTGTAACATTTATCATATCGGGTGAGACCATCAGTTCTCGTTTTGCACCGCCACCTTAATAAAACTTTTCTTATCAATTGTAACGTTACGTAATTTCAAAGGATTAACTGAAACAAATTCATCTTAGAGTCAATTTCACAAAGGACTTGAAAAAACCACGAATTAGGATGAAATATGCCACAAAGAATCATTTACTAGATACTTTAGAAATTGGATGAAAAGGGGAAGTTGGTGAAAGAGATGCTCAATGAAAAGGGCACGTTGGTGAAGAAGATGCTGATGATCAAGAAAGGAGAAGCAAAGAACAATTCATTAACCTCATTTATTAACTCTCAACAAATAATTTTTATTGCATGCAAAATATCCAAAAATGCAGCATAAGCATACTGCAAAGGATAAATACTGAAGAATGTAACATCTAGTTGAATGATTGATTGCATGCACGTCAAGATCCTGCCTTAAACCCTCCAGTAGCAGCAGCACACGCAGAACATATGGTACAAATCTCACAGGCTGAAATAGAATCTTGTCTCAACCAAACCATGCCTGAAATCATCTGCCTCATGAATTAGGATTTGCAGACCAGAACGCAATTTGTAAAACTCAGCCCTATTTAGGTCCCAATTTCAATCTCTTCTCATGACATTAAGGAAACACTGATTTGTGCAACTTATCCATAACTAGGTATTTTAATAATCCGGTATCATGTCTTTCTTGGTTGGAAGACTCAAATTTGGGGTTCACATAATTCATGAGATCTCCAACCAGCCAGAAAGTAAATGGCATTCTGGACTTTGGTTTTTAGAAACAGGTAAGGTATCTTCCCTCCCTGCCCCATCTTTAGCTACGCCCTATATTGCCACACGAAGGCTATTTCTAGTTATTTTCTATGTCCATTATTTACTATATTAAAAAGTGACCTAACATGCAAAAGACAATAAATTAAGTTCACTTCAAAAGCACCCTTGCATTTAATCCTTGATCAATAAACTACACGTACCAAAAAAAGCTGTCTGGGTGATACCACAAATAAAAATGAAAACTGGATTTGGTGTTAGTACCTGGCCCATATCACCAAGCAAAAGATCACCCTCAACCTCCCGATCCAATGCAATATCTAGAATTGACAAATAATATAATGTAAATGATATCGAAAAGGTCTCAAAACTATACATCAACAAATCAACAGAACTGGTAACAGACATACTAAGCATTGATTGTGAAATGTCTAAGCCAATCCACTGGTGCCCATCTTCAGTTAGGGTCTCTCCACTAAGTCCTGATCCACAACCTGCAAAAGCCCAATGTTAAGAGAAAGACATTTAGTAACTGTCGAATCAAAGTTTATGTAGCCCCATGAGAAAAACAGATTCATTCATGTTGGAAGTTCAAGATCAAAAACCTTAACCACTAGTGGATGACCCACCATTAAAAATACAATGATGACCCACTACTGAAAACTATATATCAAACATCAAAAATTTATGTTTTGTATTTCAGCTCTTATTATCTTTACTAGTAATTTATCTTTCCAGCGTTTAAGCTCATAGTAGCCGCCTAAACAACTTACTCATCATCTTATCAACATAATGACAGACTTGTTATGTCAAACATATATACACACACCAACTATAATGCAGGTATCCTACTTTCCCATAAGAACATTGATTATCCAAACATCCACAATTAAATAAGAGATACATGTACGTATGTTTATGCATGTAATACCAATGTCTAGGAGTAATCGGGGGACTCCATCATCTGGCAAATTAAGAAGCTCTATTGCTCTCTCTGAAAGTTTGGCCTGTCAATAAACACAAAGGATTAACGATTAATAATTAAGACAGGATGATTAGGAAAGAGCTAAACAGGATAGGTTAATTTTGATTTATACTTGCAAAAATACTGATAAAGAGAGAATACAGAAATACCTGAATTTCCATAATACGAGAAGAAGAAGTGTATTTTCGAGCTTCAACATCATCATAGAATATCTCAGGCGGCGCTAGCAACTCGGGCCGCTTTGACATCTTTTAGCTAAAATCAGGAAGGAAAAATCAAAACCAAAATCAGAAAAATTCCAAAAATATATTGTATCTGACAGAACTCAAGAGAGAAATTGCTTTTCTCACAACTGAACAAGGAAAAGCTATAGGCAACCGAATACCCAATAAAGCTAGAAAAGGAGTAAAGAGGGGAGTGACAGTAGTCAGGAAGAAAACGACAGAAAATAATACAAAAGAAAAATTTGTACCTAGGTTGAGCTCGACTACGGAAACCTTCGATCAATGTTGAGGTTATCTCGACAGAAGTGGAGAAGATTGAGAGAGAGCTGGAGAACGAGAGAGAGTTTTATGGAGAACAGGTTGAGCGGCTGGGTCTGATTCTTAAATAAACATGCAAATATGGGTTTTAGGTTTTAATAATTCACTGAAAAATTTTGGAGGGTGGAAACGGTCGGTTGGGCGCAAAATTGAACCGAATTACGAAAATAAAACCGGATCGGTTTGGTCGATTTAATAATGTTTTGCAAGCTTTTCAGGTTGGTTCAGTCGTAAGCCAGACTTTTTAATCTTCCACACAAACTGAAGACAATTTGGTTTATCCAGTTAAATCGAATCTATTCGCAAGAAAATTAACCAAATTGATTTGATTTTATCTATTTCGTAAATTCAAACTGAAGTCTGCTGTCTAATGTAGGGTTGCACGCGGATCGCGTTGGGTTGGATTTTATCGATTTAAAGTATCCAATCTATACGTGCAAATAAATGATTATTTTGACCATACCCAATCTATTAAATATATGGATCAGCTGTTATGAACAGGTTAAGTTGGTACAAATTCAAGGTAAACCATGATCAATTTAATGATAAATATAGAAATAATTTTAAATAAAATAAAGCTATTTAAGATAAATAACCAACAAAATTAAAATATTTATGATATAATTATACAACAATTTTCACAAACCACAATATATTCCAATAACAATAGTTTAAAATAAATGTTTAAATAATAATAATAATAATAATAGTAACATATAAGCAATAACAATAAAAAATTAAATTTGCTAATAAGAAATACAACCAATAAAATTAAAAATACTTGATATTCAAAATATTTAAATAATTTAATATTAATATTTAAAATTACAACTCAAATTAATATATATATATATATATATAGTTATAGTTATAGTAATGCCTTAGGTTAGATGTGAGTGTATTTAGTGAATCCGTAATCCAATCGAATTCCATGAATTATAAAACGATTCGTTCAATCCACTTATTCTATTTATCTACTCGATTGAGCTGGGTTAGGAAGAGTCTTATACAGCCGTAGCCTAATGCACACCAAACGGGAGCAAACCAAACAAACTGATTTGATTGGGTCGTTTATAGCCTTTCTTTTTCTTTTTTTTACGGTTTGAAGCTTAATTTTTTAACGTAAAGAAAAGTAAACCAAATTAAAGAAAAATTTTGGTTTTCATCTATCAAAACCAAACTCATCTTTTAGTGGGTTGCGTCATTTGCACACTCCTTACTCATTATGCTCGTCTTAATATATATACCAAATTAAAGAAATTTGGTTTCATCTATCAACCAAACTCAATCTTTTAGTGGATTTGCGTCATTTGCCACTCCTTAACCTCATTTATGCCGTCCTAATATATTATATATAATAATATGATATATATCATATATATATATATATTATATATATTTTTTTTTGTTTTGGAAAGAAAAAGATTTTTTTTTTTTTTTGGAAGAAAAAGATCCTTTTATTTATATCTTAAATATGGAGTCCCCATAGGCTCCAATAATACAATACCTTTAATCAAATGAGGCAAAGAATTAAAAGAGGTAAAAGAAAGAGAAGTATGGTGGAGCCTTTAATGAATGGCCAGAAGATGTGCGGCTTGATTTCCTTCACGATATATGTGATGAATAGAAGAAGAGTGAAGATGCAACAAGCCAGCAACACGTAGCAAAACCGAAGGCCCTATTCTAATCCATTGTGCCCGATTAACGTGAGCAACTAGATCCAGACAATCAATTTCCACCTGGATGGGATAAAAACCTTTATCAATACTCCAGGAGAGCCCCCAAATCAAAGCCTCAAGCGCTGCTTCATAAGCTGTCCCAGCAATAATCGGAAAGCAAGCGGCAGCAACAAAATTACCATGCAACGTAATTTGTTTCTATTATGATTTGTATATTAAATAGGTGATACGGATCATGTCATCTGGATTGTTTAACATTTATTACGTTTAACATTGTATATTCATATTACCGTTACATTTATTTGGGAATAAATGAGGCATGGAATTTGAAATTTAGGAAAGTATTTCTTAACATGTTTGATGTCTATAGCTTGAGAATTTCTTGAAAAGTTGGAAAGACAAATTCATTGACCGTACATTAATTTACTTTCTCCTCTTAATCCAATTAAGTGCAATTCATTTGCTCAAAAAGTTTTCCCAACACAACTTTTAACAACTTTTCCTATACGATCTCAATAGCTAGATCGGAGTCAATCATAATAGGTCGATTGGGACGAACCTTTGAGGAAGCCGGCAAGATGAGGTTGTTCGCCATTGGGGAACTACATCAATCAGACGCTACTGTGGCCACTACATGAATGGTTGGGTTTCTCTTGCTTTTGGCATAGCAGGCCCCCGGCAGAAGGCCCGCATGAAGGGCTATTAGCTCAGTGGTAGATCTAGGAAAGCGGGAGGAAGCAGGATTTGCGGGAGGAGCGGAGCCATTACCCGAGGGTATCTAAAAAGCGCTTCCCATATTGTCCTGTCTAATAAAATGTTGTTCAGATCGCTAATTATCAACATCTTCGAATGGATTCAAGGAAAATTATTCAGGTCTTCAACTTTACAAATCTCAATAAAATGATTTAATAACTATTTAAACATGTTCATCCATTTTGTTAATAAGCTAAACAAAGTAAAAAATTATATAACTTATTTTTTATCTAAAGTTTATCAATCAATAACTATTACATTTACCCATATATATATATTTTTTTATCCTTCCCAATTTTTGCAATCCCATTCTCATAAGAGATATATAGATTACAAAAACTATAGATAGATATGAATTTAAAAGGTTGCAATCCAATTAGGTAATCTCCAGATTCTCAAATCCAACCACATTCATTGAAACTAGTTGACCTTTGGGGTTTTATCAAGTTTTTATGTAAACAGAGTGACACCTATTGAAGCCCTAACCAACAATTGTCACTTGAAAATGGAGGACTTTTTATGCCTTACTTTATAATGACACAATCTTTTATATTTACCAATTCATTGCTCTTTGGCTCTGAACAGAAGCAACAGAAATGGCATCTCAAAATCAAGAAAGTGAGGGAGGAGAAACTGTCATGAGGTGCAGGTGGGTTAGGGTTTTGCCTAATAGATTATGGGATAATATAGTTGAGATTGGAAAGAAAGGAAAGGAAATTGGAAAGGAAGATCCAAGAAGAATTATCCATTCTCTAAAAGCAGGATTAGCTCTCACTTTGGTTACTCTTTTATACTCTAATGATCCACTCTATGAGGGTTTTGGTGTTAATGCAATGTGGGCTGTTCTAACTGTTGTGGTTGTCTTTGAATTTTCTGTTGGTAAGCTATATATATGTTGCTTCAAAATTCTAACTATTGTAGGTTCATTAAGATTTTAATCTATATATAGCAAACCAATTCTGCCATTTTGTTCTCAGAATTTCCATTCTTGGGTTTTCAAGAAATTAAAGAAAATTGTTTTTTCCTTGAAAATGAACAGTATGTTCTTAAACTTGAAAATTAGAAGAAGAAAACATAATTTCAATATTTTTAAATCAAATATAATTTTATCCCTACTCATGTACAAATGAATTTCATAAAATTAATCATCTGAAATTTTATTGTTTTATTTAATATAAATAAAAATATATATTTCACTTTTATAAATTCAACTTTTATGAAATTAATACAATAATTAAACCAACAATACCATTTATAAACAAATTTTATATTTTAAATTTATTTATAACAAATAAGTGGTTAAAAAATTATTAAAAATTATTTTCAAGATAAAATAATGTTGAATTATTAAAAATAATTATCTTGAAAATTGCTTATTTATCTAGAAATTATTAAAAATTGTTAAATGTTGAAAATTCTTGTTTCAGGTGCAACACTCGGGAAAGGTTTCAATAGGATGGTAGCAACATCCATAGCTGGTTTTCTAGGCTTCGGAGCTCATCGTTTGGCTGCCCTTTCCGGTCGCGGAGGAGAACCCATCTTCATTGCTTTCCTTGTCTTCATAATCTGTATATAAAATATAAAATACTAACTCTTGTTCTTTGTCTTCACACTTCAATATTTCTCATGTCGAAAATCAGAATTCAAATCACTGGAAATTCTTACTTTTTGCTTATTATATATGCAGCTGCCATAGCAACATTTGCAAGATTTTTCCCAGCATTAAAGGCAAGGTACGATTATGGGCTAACCATATTCATATTGACCTTCTGTTTGGTATCAGTTTCTGGTTACAGAGACGAGGAATTATTGGGCACGACTCACACAAGAGTATCAACAATAGCCATTGGTAGTTTTACTGCTATATTTGTATGCATCGGTATTTGCCCTGTTTGGATCGGAGAGGATCTTCACAATTTGGTCGTTGGCAACATTGAAAAGCTCGGAAACTTTTTGGAAGGTAGGCACTTCAACTATTTTTTAGGTTTGAAGTTAAATATTACAGAGAAGTTATTTATACTTAGTTATAAACTCAGGACTTGTCAGAATTTAGGCTAGTTTTGTACCATCGTTTGGTTGGGATGAACCTGTATGGGCCACATAGTACTCAAGTCGGACGTAGTCTCAATGGCCTTTTGGATACCCGTAGTTATAGGAAAAAAAAAAAAAAAAAATTAGGCTAGTTTTGTTATGTTCACATGCAGAGAATTGGACTTTTGGGCTAAAATATTTTACCCATTGGAAAGTTTTGTAGATTTACCGTATAGTTACAACTAGGTTACACACGGCTGTACAAAATTTGCCTGAACTTGTAATTCACACAGGTCACAAGCTGGTATCAGGGAACTCTTTGTATTGTTTGAATGTAAGTTAGAAGGTAAATTGAATTCAAAGTTTGATTTTTGGACTTTTTTCTTTAATGACAAGTTTAGGGAGGAAACTAGGGTTTGTTTCTAACATAATATACTCACTAAAGTCTCTCAGGAGCTCAATATAAGAATCATATGAAATTAATTTAATTATAACAAATACAATTTAGCTTTTATATTAAGGCAAATAGATATTTGTTTTTTTTTTTTTAATATTAACTAAACATGTATTCCAATCTACTGGGCAAGGACTAAGTTTTATTTACGTCGGATTGGTTCGTTAAAGAGTAAAGTATTTTCAATGAGTATTTGATATCAATGATGAAAAGACGAATTGCATTTTAATGCAATTTGTTTGATTAACTCTTTCTTTAGAATTATATATACACGTAATTGATTTAAAAAACTCACTATATATAAATATGTATAGGATTTGGGAACGAGTACTTTAAGGTGTCTGAAGAAAAGCAATCTAATAATGACAAGCCATTCCTTAAAAACTATAAAAGTGTCCTTTCTTCCAAGAGCAGTGAAGAATCCATGGTAAGTAACAGTTTTCTCACTTATTTTCAAAAGAAATATATAATTAAAATTTAATGCATTTTGAACTATCTTATGTAACTAACAATTTTGCAGGCTAATTTAGCTAGATGGGAACCTTGCCATGGTCGATTCAGGTTCTTTCATCCTTGGAAACAATACCTCAAAATTGGAAGTCTAGCTCGGGAATGTGCCTACAAAATTGAAGCTCTTAACAACTACCTTAATCCTCATATTCAAGTATATATTTTACTTATAAATACACTAAGATTTCATTTATTGAGCCATAATAGAATATCGTATAATAAAATCAAATGTATTTCTATTATAATATTTATATTAGAAATACATTTGATTATATTATATTTTATTATATTTCACGAAAGGAAACATAAATTCATTGAATGAAAATCAGATTAGTAGTAGTATGACAAAGAGTCTTGAGTTTTATATATATTTAGGTTATAAGATGATTTTTCTTTTTTTTTTTTTTTTTCCCAAGGAAACATAAAATTTTCATTGAATGAAAATCAGATTAGTAGTAGTATGAAAAGAGTCTTTGAGTTTTATATATATTTAGTTATAAGATAATTTTTCTTTTTTTTTTTTTTTTCCCACAAGTATTTTTTTTTTTTTTTTTCCCACAAGTATTTACATACTTTTTGATTATGAGATTAATCTCATTTTGGGATTTGTGGTCTATCATTCATTGTAAGTCATCTAATTAGGATATAAGATGATCATTTTAGTTGGTCTATCATTTCTAATCATGTAGCATGTATAAATTTAATGCATCCATGGGGTACTTGTTACCGAAATCTACTTGTCTATAGTGATAAAAAATCAATATTTTTTCAACATTATTGATACAATTTATTTTAAAAATATTGTATAAAATGACAGAAAGATATAATATTTATAATAATATCAGTCAAAACTTATTAAAAAATTAGGGAAAAAAAACTATCGAATATATTAAAAGCAAATTAGGATTCTTCTGTTTCAAAATTTTAAATTTTCTTCTATTGCAGACTCCTATGGAAATCCAAAACAAATTTGTGGAGCCATGCACGAAGCTCAGCGTGGAATGTGGTAAAGCACTAAAGGAAATAGCGTCAGCAACCAAAAAAATGAGAAGATCAAACTCAGCTGCTATCCACATAGCAAATGCAAAAGCTGCAGCCGAAAATGTCAAATTCCTTCTCCAAATAAACCTTTCGGAAGGAGCACTTCTAGTTTATATAATTCCAACAGCTACGGTGGCTACGCTTCTGCTAGAGGTTCTGCAATGCATTGAGAAAATTTATGAGGCTATAAATGAATTGGCAGCAAAGGCTCATTTCAAGAACGTAGACCCTACTGTGTCGCCGGAGCAACCACATTTGCTTCACCGTGGAACTGTGAAACCGATGCCCAATAATCTCGGTATAATATCTCACGTCGTTACTATCTAGGGATAGTTCCAAACTTCAAATTCTACTTTCATATATATAGTATGGTATAGAGGAAGAAACTGAATAATTCTCTTACTGTATATTTCAAGAAACCTTTCCTGCCATATAAAGGAAGGTTTCGAAAATGCTACAAGTTTCCAGTTAAATGTCTGTAATTTAAGTGTTCTCTTGTATTATATATGCAATAATAGAGCTTACCAGAGACAGATACCCCTAAATTTTATATAATCACATTGTTAGTTATATATGCTTTACAGTCAGTTGTTTAGTTATTTTTTGGATATAATATTTAATAAAAACATTTATTACCTATGGACTGTGGCTTAGTTGGCAACGTAGTTGGCAATGTAGGCTGGGCATGTGGGAATTGCTCTTGAGTTCGGTCCCACTAAACACACTTAGGGGGTAAGCACAGTTTGGTTTGATGCTGTTCGAAAAAATTTTCAAACCAAACCATAAATTACGGTTTATAGATTTTTCAATCCAAATCAAACCATTTAATCAATGAAATCAAACTGAACCAGACTGCAAAAAGCGGTTTGGTGCAGTCCGATTTGTGGTTTGATACCATTAAAATAATTTAATTATTATTTTAATTGTAATTGAACAACATAATGAATTCATATATGATATATAATATATAATATGTAACATAAGCAAAAAAAAAAAATATAACTAGCAAAAAAGTGATCAGTTGTTTGACAATATAAAGTATAACATATAAAATAAGATATCAATTTTTGCAATTTAAATTTACAAAAATAATAAGATTATATATAATTAATATTCATGATCCACCAAAGTGTAACCTACTAATAAGAACTTATTTGTAAACAAATAAATTTCTTTCAATAGCATTAAAAACATAAGAAATAACATAAAAAAGAATTTGTCATGTTCACAGGGTGTATTTTCAACGTTTCAAACTAGATAAAACATATAACAGTTAAATTAATAACACAATGACATAATAGAATATTAATGCGGTTTGATTCAATTTTAAATGGTTTAATACAATGAAAATCAAACCGAATTATTTTGAAAGCAATTTATTAAATTATAAACCAAACCGTTTAAACCGATAAACCATTTAAAACTGACGGTTGATGCGATTTAGTTTGGTTTTGCAGTTTAAACCATTTAATGCTCACCCCTTTACACACTTGCAGGGAGAGGCAAAGAGTCTTAACTGTGACTAAACTTCGAGCTAGATTGGGTGATTGATAGGTGTTATTTTTATAGTATTTTTAATATTGTTTTCACTAGAATTTTTAGTATTTTTAATTACTTTAATTAGTTTTTATTTAGTTTTATTTATGTTTTTGTTTAAAGTTTCCTTGAATCATATTTCATTTTATCTTGAGGAATTTTGTAGGATTTTTATAGGAAAAGTTTCCTTTAAAGTTTCCTTGAATCATATTTCATTTTATCTTGAGGAATTTTGTAGGATTTTTATAGGAAACCAGCCAAAAATGCAAAAGAAGATCAATTATCAAAGACTTCCAGTAAGTAGCACACCCAGGGTGTGCTACCTAGCACCCCCGTTCTACTCTGCAAAGTTCAACTTAGGCTAAGATTGTAGACTAAGCTTGTGCTACTTGTATGGATCTGCATGAAGATATGGTGGGACGTGTCTTATTAAAGCTGGAGTCCTATTTAGACGCTGGGAGAGTCCTAATTGGGAAGAAATACAAAGCCTAATTAGTTTCCTATCTCCAAAAGATTTCTTCATCAATACAAATTCACTTTCCTAAATAATTCAAAGATATTCCAGACAGTCTATGTAAAGAGAGAGACTAGCTATTTTGAGGAATATTCATTGTACATTTCATCTCTTATTGTATTGTTTTCTAGTCTATTTTTTTAGTTTTTCTCTCTTTTAAGACTTTAAGTATTCAAGTTAGAGTTAAGATTCAATAAAGCCGCTCAAGCCAATTGTTGACTAGTTTTTATTTCTAAACTCTCTTTTTGTTTATTATTCTTTATGAGATTATTTACAAGTTTAGTTGAGTTTGATTTATTTACTATGTCGATCTAAATCTTTTTACTAGGGATATGATATAACTTAAATTCAACTTCAGTTTATAATGTTAGATTTGATTTTCTTTATTCAAGTAAAATTTATTATTAATCTTAATGCTTCCAGACAGAGTTTCTCTTCTGAATTGATTTATTTCATTAATCATTATTGAAAGAAGGGTTTTTAATATGAATAGGTTAATAACAACTTCATGCGAGAGTTAGATGGTTTGACTCGTGGGAGGTTTTCATAAAATTAATGGCTTTAATTCGTAGATTCCTGAATAATCACAAGAACTTAATGATTTAAAATCACAACAAGACACTTATGGATTTTAAGCTCCGTTTGTTTCCATAAAGATAACTTGGCTGGAAAAATAAACTTGCAGAAAAATATTTTCCATGAGAAAATATTTTATAAGGAAAACACATTATTTTTCGAACGTTTGGGTTTTACAATAAAACATTATTGGAAAATATTTTTCACCATTTTGACATATCATTAAAAAATTTAAATTTTCCATCATATAAATAACACATTTAACACCAAAAAATTTAATTTTCCATCATATAAATAACACATTTACACCTATTATATTATTCATAAGCAATGTATATTAAAGATAAATTTAATAATTATATTTTTCTATTTAAAATGTATTCTCATAGTATAATTACTATAATGATGATTAATTTAGTCTAATAATATGATTTAATTCTTTTTAATTAAATTATTTAACAACACAGTGTATATCTAAGACAATTTAACAATATATAAAGCACTATAATTACTTTAAAATATATTGCTAAAATTTATATTTTAAATGGTACGAGCTTTAACATATTTTAAAAAAATATTGTTAAAATAATTTAATGATTATTTTAAAATAATCATGATGCAAAAATTATCATGTAAAATATATTTTAAATGGTATGAACCTATCAATAAATTATTTTAAATATTTTTTCCAAAAAAAAAGCCACTTGGCACCGTTTTTACACTTCCAAAGAGGCCGCGGGCTCACAATTGCACATGTTCAACAAGGGGAGTGTTCCTTGATGGACCAAAAAAACTAGTTTTGGATTATGAAATCAGTTAAAAAAAATATTTTCCCATGCAAACAAGAGCAAGTTATTTTTCTTAATTGTTAACTTGTTTTCCATTGATCAACAACTTATTTTCCTTGACATATTTTCTTTTAATGATCCAAACAATAGAAAATTATAAAAAATATTTTCCTATAAGTTACTTTACAAAACGGAGTCTTAATCTATTTTTAGTTGCACCATTAAGAGATAGGTAATTGAATTGGGTTAAAATAGCTAATAAAATATCGAGAGAGCTTATTAGCAATTTTAGGGTTATTTCTCTTTCTTAAATAATTAAAATTGATTATTAAACAAATAAGATAAATTGATAGAATTAAGTGAAGTTAAAATCTCTTATAACCTTTAAACCTTAATTTCTTTTTTAACTACTTATTGCTTGATTCCATTCTCATTGTTCTACTTTAATTTTTTTATTTTCAAATACATTCTCTTTATTGTTTTTTAAATAATAATAGGTTAACACAATTTTGGTACTTGGTATACAATCTTCATGGGCGATAATCTACTCACTCTTTATTACTTGTTTGCAATTTCGTATACTCGCAAAAAAGCCTGTTAGCAATCCCTCCAGATACTGGTGGTTTACACAAAAATAATAATAAAAGACATTTATTTATCTTTAATATTTTATTTATTGAATTTCGATAAAAGATAAAGTTTATGAAACAATATTGTTTTGCAAAATAAATTATAATATGGTTATAATTATGAGTTTTATTTTGCATTAAAACAATGTCTCTAAATATTCTTGGTCAATGTTCTCCTCATTATTGGATGATGATTAGAGTTGTTGAGACTGATACGTATTATGTTCTTTCCTTTGTGAAAGGAAGCAGTTGTTCTCGTAAGCTGAGATATATGTAATATCTAGAACTAATATGTAATGCTTGTTATTAAACAAGTCCACTGAATAGACCTAGATGAGAATTTCATATGCAGGGTCACTTGTGTCTATGAAATACTCAAGTGATGGTTGTGTAAGTGACCTTTTGACTTGAAATTACTCAACTATCTTGTATGGGCATGATTAAGTTTTGATTCTTTATTCACATTATTTATTTATGAATAATAAGCAATGATTAATTGGATATAGTACGAATTGTGTGGAGATATTTGTGTAATTAAGATAGGATTCATCACCTTAGGTAAATTAGGAAAAATATTCTAATTGTTCTCTATTAGTATTGATTAATAAATTCTTACGCGAGGGGAATGAAATTAGCAAATCAGATTTAGAATTTTATTCAAATGATTAATGACTAAGATTAAAATAACTAATATGATTTAATAATGCAAACACATATCATGCCTAATCACTAAATTAGAATATTAATGATGAAGGAATATTAATTACAATGATAAATCATATACTGGAAGGTTAAGTTAAACCACTTTGACTTTTCAAATATTTGGATAGTCATGACATGTTGCTAGATAATGTACTTGACCTTTAAATATTAATTAATTAATTTAATTTATATTTATCGTCGATATATTTGAAACCTAATAGGTCACGCACATGAGAATGTATATGAGAAAGTGAAAATGAGAAATCGAATAAAGTATAACTTGATTACAAATAAGTTTTGGGACATTAAGGGCAAAATTGTAATTTAAATAAGTTTTGGGACATTAAGGGCAAAATTGTAATTTATATTTAATTACAAATTTACCTAAATTATTAAGTATTGACTTAATTGATTTATGTCTAAAGTTTATTAAGATACATTATTAAATAAACCCAATATTTTAATTATGATTTATTTAAATAGTTAAATAAATAAATATAATTGACTAAATTGAAAATCCTATTGTATGTATTATGATTTATTTATTTATATTGTTTAAATAAATAAATAAACACATATTTTTTAGTTATAATTTATTTATTTAAAATACTTAATAAATAATTATAATTTATTTATTTATGACCTAAAGTTTTCATATATAAGGTTTAAGAGACAGTCTAAAGATTGTTGTTGCATATAATTACAAAACTAAATATAGAGTGCAAAATAGATAGCATCATCATACTCTCTAGTCTCTTAATCTTTTAAAATAGTTTTAGAGTTTTT